TATATATATATATATATATATATATATATATATATATATATAAACTAAAGTTATAGATCATACCTAGACCTACAGGCAATGGTCAACTTACAGTGGCAATTGGAATGTTGTCCTTGAGTGATGCTGTCATGACTTTTTGACCTTTTCCTTAGCAATGGCAATCTTTGTAGTCCCAGGTACCACTGCTAACTGAATTCCACATTATTAGATGTGACTACTTCCTGCTGGCTTCACACAAACTTACAAGTCCAAGGACAGCAGGCAGACAAGTGGTGGCTGGCCAGTGGGAGAGGAAACAAGGGTGTGCAGATCAGGAAAGGTGCATTGGGGAGTAATACTGGTCAGGAAGCATCAGTCCAAGTAGATGGACTGAGTGAGGATGCAGTTAGGGGAAGCCAGCAGGGAAGGTTGCAAATGGAGAACATGCAATAATGAAGTGCTACAATCAGTTGTAAATGTGAAATGGTTACCAAGTGCCCATATTATGACCACAGGTGTGCTGGGGTGGCCAGAACCCCAAGGATCAGCCTCATTGTAACTTCAAACCGTTGCAGAACAAGTTATTCAGCTTTGCACTGAAAGGGCCTACCCAAACAGCCCTCTAAGCAAAACCATGGCCACAAGAAAAAGTTGCAAGACTCCGAGACACCCGTCCTTTAAGATCTTTTATTGAGACATGTACAAGGCTTATTCTCCCCGCTTCTCTTCTTGCGGCGGTTCGTACTGGGCCAGCTGAAAAGAAGGGTGAGGTGGTTAGTCTCCCCCAGACGCAAGGAGCCCACCTGGAGGTCGATTCTCCCTAGCGAAAGGCCTAGGCCTCCCGGGAAACTGCTTTACCTTGGCTTTCAGCTTCCGGTTTTCTTCCAGGAGGGCTTCATACTTCTCTTTCATCTCGGCCACCTCCAGGCGGAGGACTTCCACCTCGGGGTTCTCCGGAGCCGCGGCTCCCAGGTGGTGTTTCAGGAAGCTTTGAGGCGGCAGTCAAGGACCGTGACGCCTCCCAAGGCCCAGCCCGGCCCTCCACCCGCTCCGCCCGGCCCTCCCACCCGCTCCGCCCGGCCAAGGATACTCGAGGGCGCAGCTGGGCTTCTCGGGCTCCTCGTACAACGCCACCAGCACTGCAGGGCGAGAAAGCGGAAGCGGCGCTGGCGACCCGGCAGGCAGAAACGAACGGCACCTCGCACCCCACCCTCAGCGCCAAGCCACCTTACCTTTGGTTAGGGTGTCCATCACGCCGGACTTCTCCAGGTAACGCCGGAACTGCTCCCTCTTGGAGTCGGCGGCCTACACCGCAGGGCGGGAGGGAAGGAAGGAGGGAGTCAAGCGCACTCCGCCCCCGCCCCCACAAGCCCGGTCACGGTGGCGCCCCCCCCTCCCCTCACCTTGTAGCTGGCCATGGGCCCCTTCGGCTCCTCTCGCTGCTGCTGCTGCTGCTGCTCCCGGGCCACCCGCGCATGAAACGGGAGGACGTGTGCGCCGCCGCCCGCCTCTTTAGCGCGCCGCGGCGTCCGCGCGTCGCCATGGATACAAGCGGCACCGCCTCCATGGGCCCCTCCTCTTCCGCCGCCGGCTTCCCCTCTGCGCTTCTTTGGGCCAGAGGCGGATGAAAGGGCCGGGGCCTCCTGTGTGCGCCGCCTAGCCTCGCGGTTCTCCGGCTGAGCTCCCTCCCCGCTGGGCAGGATTCTCGCCACGGAGCCCCTTTGGGTGATTGGGAGCCGTTGGAGTTGGAGGAGCTGCGGAAGTCGGAAGTGGAGGTGAAGTCAAGAGGCCGCTCCGTGCAGCCTCCCTGAGGAGCTCCCTTTGGGAGGCTGCGGCTGAAGCGGCAGGGAGCCATTTACTGGGCGTGGGGAAAGAGAGCCGAGGTTGTTACAGAAACTGCCAGCTGACATGGCAGCCTCTGAATCAGAGTCGTGGGAGATGTAATTGGGACGGAAGAAATATATTCGCTTTAGACGCTTGGGATAGGCTGTGACGGCATGAGTACTAAGCCAATCAGGAGACAGTGGGAGGTACATTTGTAAGGGCAATAGAGACTATAAGTCAAACCCTGGTGGAGTTGGGGGGGGGGCTGCAACCTTGAACACTCAGAGCCGTTTGGACCCGTTTTCCACAGAAAACACCGGGAGCTACAAAACCTGGGTGGGCGTGGTCAATTCAATGTCACTCCCACCCAGTCACATGACACACATCCCCCCCTCATCCATCCCTACCCAGCTTTAGCAGCTCCTGTTTTTTTCTGTGGGAAATGGGTATCTGTCTCTCTCTCTCCCTCTCATTTATGTTCTTCCTTTTTCTCTTTCTTTCTTTCCCTCTTCTCTCTCATTTATTTTCCTCTCTCTCATTCTCTCCCTCCAGCTCTTTCATTTCTCTGTCCTTATCCCATTCTCTCCCCCCCCCCCCCATACGGGATTCCCTTCATATCAGCTCAGGAAGAGGGAGGAGCAGCTGCCACCTCCACCAAATGCAGGAAGGGAGGAGCTCTGGCTCTCCTGCACAGCTCAGCTAGCTACTCTGAGGATGCAGTGGTGGCAGCGGAAGGAGGAGTCCTTGATCTCAGCCCAGGAGACGATCCTGCTTGTGTGCTTGCACCCCTCCTTCTCACCATTCCCTGGCTGGCTGTGGCGAGACCAGGAGGGTGCGCACAAGTGGGAAGATCCTCCTCAAGTCAGCGGCCGAGCTCGGCCAAAGTGCAGCAAAAGCGTGCGTGGGGTGGACAGGCGCTCGCTTGAAAAGAGTCTCCCCACTTATGCGCACTCTCCTGGGCTCCGTCACAGCAGTCAGTTCCGGCCAGGTTGGGTCAGTGTCTTGGGCCAGAGAGCAAGCGACCAAGGCACACGCAGCACGAACAAGGGCTGAAAAAGCTCCAGCAAGAGGGAGGTGCTAGAAAATCAGCTGCAGCCACTACTCCATCCCCCCTCCCGGCCGTTGCCCTTACTTTCTCAGGTCAGGTGAGAATGATGGGGAGGCTGAGGGGTGGGGCCAGCCAGTGGTGGAATCACCCAACAGGGAGCCATAGCAGAGGGCCCAAAGAGCCGCATGCGACCCCAGCCGCAGGTTGCCGACCAAGTTAAGGTGTGTCCACTGTATCTGCGTGTACATGGGGGTAACCTCTTTGCGAAGTAGGAAATAAAATCCCCATTGTTCTCTCTCAGAAATTTTGGCTGGTGTTAGTTTATTTCAAAACTAGACAATGAATCCCACACCGGTTCGAGTCGAGGCTATGATGGCTTGTCCCGAGGCTCACTCACCAGAATTTCTGGGGCTCTTGTTGGGGTTGATTTGGGGGCCACCAGGTAGGCCTCGAAAGCCAGAATTGCTTCCTTGATGTGATATTGCTTGCCCCAACCCTCTGGATGCTGCCTATACTAGTAGCCACAAACACCGTACTCTGGGCCAGTTTATTTACTAAAGGGTGGAAACCAGGCAACGGCAAGTTCTAGTCCTGCCTTAACTGTGAAAGCTGGTTGGGTGACTCTGGGATCAATCCTCTTCTCTCAGCCCAAACCACCACAGAGGTGTTGTTGTTTGGAGGGAAACAGGTGAAAGAAGGAATTAGATATGCTTGCTGCCATAATAAAAATGGAATCTAAATAAAATTAGAAACAATCTTAGGGGCTAGAATTGGAATGATTCCCCCCACCCCCACCCCGACATATATTAACCGATTCTGGGCTTTTTTATATGTATAAACTGTGTTAATGTTTTTCTTTGTATGCCACTTAAGAGTCACTTAAGAGTAACATGGGCAATATAAATTGTGTAAAAACAATAAGGAAATGTACAATTACAAGCCAACGTAGAATCCCACTTCTTTGTAGAGAAGAGTTGGATTCCCACAACACATAACAATCCCTCTTCTTATACTTCCCTTCCTGGCCTTGGCTCTTCTTTCTTTTTGCTGCTGCTGTTGCTACCGCTACCTGTGTCAGATGGGCCAATCAGTTATTCTCAGCCCAACTGTTGTATTTATCATGATTAAATGTCACTACTTTCAGCCATAAGCCTGTTTCCTTCTTGGATAATAACAATTGCAGTAGCTATAGCAATAGCAATAGCACTTAGACTTATATAAGGCCCCATAGTGCTTTAGAGCCCTCTAAGCGATTTAAAAAGTTAGCAAATTGCCCCAACAATCTGGATCTGTCAAGATTGAATTTGCTTATGCTTCCTGTGAATATTAGCACTTTTCAACTTGCCAAAGAATTGGTGGGAAGGAAGAGAAAGATGGAATGCAGAGGCTGCAGACTCCAACCGTGAGAATCCAGCCCCCACCAAGGACGCTTCTGCAGGTGTTGGCCAAGACATGAACTGTTCTCAAAACAAAATAACAATTCATAATTGGACAATGTGACCTGTCCAGTGGGAGGAGGGGAGAACTCTATTCTTTAACTATGCAATATTGCGCTGGAAAAGTTAGAGCCGGTTTTGCTTTCTTCAGTGTCGAAATGATGAACTCAATAAAGTTTTGCTTTGGGGATTTTAAAATGACTGAAAGTGCTGCTTTTGTTGGGTTTGTTAATTGGACCGATGACAGAGTCCTTATTTTACCCAACCTCTGAAGGATGGAAGACTTCATCAACCTTGAGCCGCTCAGAATTGAACTCCTGGAGTAAGCAATGAGTTAACCTGCAGTACTGTATTCTAATTTAGTTTACCTATTGGAAGAACATGGAGAAAGGAAGTTGGAACTATGTTCCCTTTGCCTTATGCTTGAACACATGCAGGGGCCTTGAATACTGTTTAGGAGAAAATACCAAACACTTCCAAATACCTCTTTCCATCTCAATGGAAAGCCAATTACAGTTGCTTCCCCAAAACTTGCTGGTTGAGAATTTTGAGAATGGTAATCCAGCACATCTGTGAGGGAAGTACCAGTGACAGAAGCACTTTCCTTCCTTCATTGCTACAGTTTAAAGAGGGAGCTTGGGCAAGCTTATCTCTTCATACCAACGGAACAAGATTTATGGAATAAAAATGCTAGCATTTTCTATTCAGTCTCCCCAAACACCACACATACAATTGTTTATTTAAAGTTTTAATTTTATTTATTTAAATTGATTTATTTGGCCACCCATCTTGATTCTGGGCAGCTAATAAAGATTTAGAAATGCAACATAAATTCTGTGTGTGTGTACACATATATACACATACGTACATGATATATATATAAATCGGCCAACTAACACAAAATGGTTCCAGAAAACACCAACTTTTGCCCCCATGCCTAGGAAAGCAGGTGTTCTGGACCTTCTGCAAGGTAACATGGTCAGGACCAGCCAAACTTTGGACCGATGGGGTTTCAGGAGGCAGACACAGGTGAGAAAGCCGTTTGTTTTCTGGGAGATTGCATATATCAATCCATGATTGACAGGGCCTGGAGCACGGGTGTCAAACTTGCTGCGTCGCATTATGTTTCATGACGTTTTCCCCATTCATGGAGCTGGGGTGGGCTGCGCATGATGCATCCGGCCCATGGGCCGCCAGTTTGACACCTCAAGTGAGCCCTTTCTGCCTGACCTAATGCTAGGGATAAAAAATGCAGGAATAAGGCCATCCTTCAAATATCTGGCCCTGGGTCATGTAAGACTTTATAGGTAATAACAAGCACCTGTAGTTGCACCTGGAAGCAAATTGGGAGCCAGTATAGATTGCAAGGCAAAGGTATAATATGGACATAATGAAACGCACCCATAATTGCCTCTGCTTTTGCATTCTGGACCAAGTGAAACTTGTGGAGGTTCTTCAAGGGCAGCTCCATGTAAAGTACATTGCAGTAATCCATTTTAGGAGTGATCAAAGCCCAAGTGGCCATGTACAGTGCCTCTTTACCCAGGAAAGGGAACAATTGGTATTAAATATGAAGTTGTGGAAATCCTCCACATTCTATCCTCCCGTCAACACTGAATACAACCAATTCCACAGAATGGAGAATCAGCAGCAGATTGCACCCAACTCATACATGTTCAAAAGAATACCCTGGACAGTAAGTATCGAAGGTCCCAGAGAGTAAGGATTTTTTTTTCACCCACAAGGGCAATTGGTGCTGTTTCAGTTCCATATCCCAGCCTGAAACATCCTTTCATGAAAAATGTGTTGGCCTCCTTTCAAAATGAATGTATTTGTCCACTCAAATCAGTCTATTACCATTTATGAGGTATGAAATGATGCTGGAAGAAATGCAGGCTGATGATCTTAGGAATCCCTTCTAAAGCATTTGGACACCAGGAAGCTTTCACCTTTCTCAAGGCAGGCCATCTGCACACGATCGGCTTGTCAGTTATCAGCACGATTTTGTGCAAATGAAAGTGGCACAGCACTGCAAATAATTTGCCATGTATAGTTCAAAAGCAAGAGTCATTGGAGCAGCCCCTCAATGCTTAGAAAAATAAAGTCAAAAAGGAAGGTGACAGAAGACCTGGCAGTTATCTAGTCACTGATGCTGATGATACAAGCAGGAGCTGAAAACTCAAATCCATTACTGACAAAAAAAATTC